CAACCACTTTACACGGAAAAACACAAGGTTTCGTGCTCCGACTTCCTTCCCAAAATAAAATCCATGCAACATTCATGCAGCCATTAGAGCTCCTCGGAGTTGTTCCGGAAAGCTTGCCAAACTTGCTCCCTAAAGTGGTTCCCCGAAGCTGCTTCCCAAAGCTATTCCCCAAAGTACCTCTGCAAAGCGGTTGCCACAAAGCGGCGGCTATGCTTCAAACCTCTTCCCCAAAGTGTTCCCCAAAGCTATTCTCCAAAGCGGCTCCCGAAAGCTAATCCCCAAAGTTGCTGCCGAAAGCTACTCCCCAAAGTTGCGTTCTAAAGCTACTCCCCAAAGGTGCTCCCCATTCAAAGCTGCTGTTCAAAGCTGCCGTGCAAAGCTGCTCCTCAAAGCTGCTCCGGCTCCCCAAAGCTGCTACCCAAAGCTGTTCCCCGGCGCTTCTACCCAAAGTTGTGCCCCAAAGCTGCGATTCTGCAAACCTGTTCACCAAAACGGCTCCCCAAAGCCATTCTGCAAAGCGGCTCCCGAAAGCTGCGCCCCAAAGTTGCTATACCAAAAGCTGCTCCTCAAAGCTGCTGTCCAAAGCTATTGCCCCAAAACTGCGATTCTTCAAACCTATACCCCAAAACGGCTCCCCAAAGCTATTCTACAAAGCGGCTCCCGAAAGCTGCTCCCGAAAGTTGCTACTGAAAGCTGCTCCCCGAAGTGGTTTGTATACAACTAGATCGTAATTTTAATAGTAATAAATTGAGGGCATGTCGTTACATTTTGCGGCTTGCACTTCTTGGGGCGCAACAATGAACAGCCATGCGGTCTACACCAAGGACACCGCCACAGGATTAATATGACTAAATGTGTAGCCATACGAAAATATGCGATTGGTTTGGTTATGCAACTTTATTCGGCTAGCTTGGCGAGCCTATATCAGCGGTCTTTCCAATAAGGAGTCAGCGGCACCAAAAGACACTCGTACCCACGACCAGCAGGCTTGAAATATCTGTGGGCATGACGTTTTGTACATACTGCACCAAGCAATGTTCTTCTACACTCGCCAAAATATCATATGTACGTTTCAAATCTTATGAATTCAAAAGAGCGATAAATACATGCGGTAAATTCAAAATAACGGAAACACAAAACGAAAATTCCCAAAAAAGTAATAAATTTTCAACCTCCGCGCAGGAGGAAATGCAGATTGAGCTTGTATTCGTAAAAAATCCAAAATTGTAGCAAATTTTTGGGAGAATTGGGCTCGGGGTGAAAATTTCAAAATTATGGCAGATTTTTGGTAAAATTGACCTCGGGAAATCCTGTATACCCGCCAAATTTAGAAGAAACTTTTTAAAATTCAACTGAAAGACCTACCGAGCGACAGTGGACCAGGGGGGAATCGAACCCCCCGACCGACCGCACCGCATTTACTTAGTGGGACACTGACTGGGAAGGAAAGAAAAAAACAAAAAAAAATATCACTTTTTTGGGAAAACCACAATTAGTTTTTCCCAAAAACGTAGTAAAATTTCGCCCTCCGGGCAGGGGGCTCAGGAAGCACAAGCTCAGTTTGTATTCGCCAATTTTCCCAAAAATTAGCAGATTATTGGGAAAATTAGCTTCGGGAAACTGCGCGCGCGCGCTCCGTATACAGCTAAATCGTAATATTAGTAAGAATAAATTATATTATATAATATATAACATATGTTATATATATAGATTATAAATATACAAAATATAAAATAATTTATATATATATATAATTTAATAATATATATATATTAATATATATATAAAATATAAATTATAATATAATAAATATATATATATTTTTTAAATAAACTAATATATATATATAATTTATATAATATAAAATATAAATAATATTTATCACATATAAAATATATAAAAATTATGTAATATATAATATAAAATATATATAATATATATAATATATATAATATATATAATATATATAATATAGATAATATATATAATATATATAATATATAAGATACATATCTTATATATATATAATATTATATAATTATATATATATATAAAATAATATATAATATATAACCCATATAATATAATATATATATATATATATACGAATATATATTATAATATTAAAAAAATATATATAATATAATATTCAAAATATAAATTATATATATATAATACAATACAATACAATATAATATAATAATATATATATAATATAATATTCAAAATATAAATTATATATATATAATACAATATAATATAATATAATATATAATATATATAGTAATATATATAATAATATATTATATAATAAAATAATATATATAATATAATATGTATATATATATATGTACAATATATATAATATAAACAATATAATTAATATGTATAATATATAAGATATATATATATAACATATTATGTAATACATATATATAATATAATATATATATATAAAATATAATACAATTTAATATATATATATACCATGTAGTATTAACAATTATATATTATAGATTATATATACGTATATATATATATATTAAATATTATATATAATTATGACATATTATATATTTTTAGATTCCGTGAATTGATGTCAAATTATTAATTTCTTTGCTCATGCATCATCTGCAGACCTGTTGTAGTTTTAATGTGATCAAGGTCAATTTATCAAATTCTCGATGGATTGAAATTATTATGTCACCAAGCTGACGAATAGACTTAGAGATAATGGCAACGAAATGCAAAGAAAGGATCTGTTTCCCTTCCCTTCCCTCGGTGTTTGCGCGTGAAAGCGGTCGAGTGTCACGCCCCACCTGAAAGGTGAAGTAAATTCTTGCAGAATCTGGCACATCTGCAGAATTCCTTCCACTGCTGCCTCAGCTCAATGCTCGGTGGTGGCCGTGGCATGAAATTGGAGGCAAATGATGCATTGGAAGATGGTGGCAGTGGATTTTTGTTGGATCCCAATCTATACCCCGCATCTGAAGCCTTGCCTGCAGGGAGTCGCCAGCCTGTCGCATCTCAACCTTGATCGCTGTACATCTCAGAACTGAATTGTCATGAGTCCATTTCACCTGAAGGTTATCGGCCAAACCCAAAATCCTTTCGTTCATGGAAGGGAATGGTTGAACTCGATACAGTAGCCTTTTAAACTAGCCTCCTGTAATGATGGAAAATCGTCCAGGACCATTTGTAGATGGTTTTCCTGCTAAGAGTGGAGGATTCTCCATTGCCACATATTGCCACGTCGCAGTACCTCCCAGCGTGGTTCCAGTTGTTCTAAGGTGTGAGCCAGCTCTTCACGAGTTTTGACCAGCTCCTCTATAGTGATCAAATGCGATCGTTGTGCAGGCTTTGAACCAACTAACATGGCGATATTGGTAGCAATACGCAGCTTGCTGCGATCCATTGAGTGTGTTCATTCAAGTTCCAAATGGATCCAAATGGGACCTAGGATTGAATGGGGTCATATGGGTTCAGCAAGACATCCACGGACTGCAGGTGATCGCAGGAAGATGGATGCTCGAATTCTCACATACCAATGTGACCGGAGAAGCATGAAAACCTAAACAATTTTCAGAGTTCTACAGCTGATGGGCTGATGTCACTAAACAAACACAAAAGACCGGTTCAAATATCACCAGATATCCCCAGTTTCCTATTAGCAACTTGCGTCGGCCTCAGCAGTCTCGTGGCCAGTCCTGCTTGGCACGCAAGGCTTCTTGCTCCATTTCAAGTCCGCGGCTCTTGACCTTGATTCTGACGCCGGACTACACAAAAGTCTTTTCAAAATGGGGGTTTGGGCCCCAAAATGGCACGTCTTTTGTGGGGGAAAAATTATGATACGCCAGAAAAATAAAGAGGTAGCCTATTTTCAAACAAACCCATTTAGCAAATACAATTGAATACAAGTAACACTGCATTTTCTCTGTCAATGAACCGGAGGATGGCATACTCAGTTCTCTTCCACGGATTTCTCATACAAATCTCATGAGATCGACCACAAAATAGTATGAAAAAGTCAAACATTGGCACCAAATTTGGGTCCCGAAAGGAGCTGGATTTAACGACATGTTGCTCATTTCATGTATTTTTTTGCATATTTCCATTTTTTTGCATCGTTGAGCAGTTGTTATGGATCCAATGTTTCGGTTTCGACACATTTTGCACTCCAATGTCACAATTTCCAGACTTGGGCGCCCTATGCGCCCTATGCGCACCTCAACGAGCTCTTGGGCAATGCCAGGTCTGCGTCAGTGGGTTGATTTCCAGGAAACTTTATGGGACACCCATGGTTTTCACATGTCATCACCATTTTACTAGAGGAAATTGTATACACAACGACTGTTCCCTGTATCCCTAGAAATGCGATTCTGAGATAGGCGTCTTCAAAGGTACCAAGTGCAAGTATGATGTTCAACGCTCAATGAGGTGAGGTGACCGTAATTGAAACAATTTGTAAAATTAATCCCGTCACCCTAAAACCAGGTAGTGCCCGGCACGCGCCAGGGCGGAAATTTCGAAAATAGGACATGGCTATACGAACCAATTTGCTTATAGGCTTATAGGAATTCTTGGTGAGTTGGAAAGAAATGAATTGAAATGAAATAACATGCCAGGCCATGAATGAATGAACAATGAATAAACGAACGAACGAACGAACGAATGAATGAATGAATGAGTGATTGAGTGAGCGAATGAATGAATGAATGAATGACTGAATGATTGAATGATTGAACGAATGAATGAATGAATGAATGAATGAGTGAATGAGTGAATGAGTGAATGAGTGAATGAGTGAATGAGTGAATGAATGAGTGAATGAGTGAATGAGTGAATGAGTGAATGACTGACTGAATGAATGAATGAGTGAGTGAGTGGGTGAATGAATGAATGAATGAGTGAGTGAGTGAGTGAGTGAATGAATGAATGAATGAGTGAGTGAGTGAGTGAATGAATGAATGAATGAATGAATGAGTGAGTGAGTGAGTGAATGAATGGCTGAATGATTGAACGAATGAATGAATGACTGACTGAATGAATGAATGAGTGAATGAGTGAATGAATGAATGAATGAGTGAATGACTGAATGAATGAATGGATGAATGAATGAATGAACAAGTTAATGAGTGAGAGAGTGAGTGAGTGAATGAACGAATGAATGAAAGAATAAATGAATCAATGGACAAATTTAAAAATGAATAAATGGATAAACGAACAAATGAAAGAATGACTGACTGACTGAATGAATTGAAATGAATGGCTTGAAATAAGTGAAATGATATGAATGAATGGAAATGAAGGAAATGAAATGAATGAATTGAAATGAGGAAATTGAAATGAAGCAATTGAAAAGAATGAGTTGCAATGAAGCAACTGAAATGAAAGGGTTGAAATGAATGAATTGAAACGAAGGAATTGAAATGAATGAATTGGCATGAATGACTTGACATGAATGAATTAAAATGAAAGAATTGAAATGAATGCATTGAAATAGATGAATTAAAATGAATGAATTGAAATAAAGGAATTGAAACTAATGAATTGAAATGAATGAATTGAATTAAAGCAATTGAAATGAAAGAATTGGAATGAATGAATTGAAATGCAGGAAGTGACATGAATGAACGAATTAATGAACGAATTGAAATGAATGACAGTCTCGTGCACCTTTTCCCGACCTCATCTTCCAAAAGTTTTCCGAACGCCGCAGAGTTTTACGGTTTTATGTGACCAACTACTTGATGATGCTGTGGTAGACATATGAAACCGAGCTCGCGCTACAGTCTCGTGCACCTTTTCCCAACCTCATCTTCCAAAAGTGCTCCGGGATCCTCAGTTTTTTAACATTTTCAAGTGGAAATCGAGCCTCGCTACAGTCCTGTGCGCTTTTTGTCCACTACTTTCCCCGATCGAGACACGCAACCGAGGAAACAGAGACTCTCCTCCGGCGACCACGGAAGCCACTTTCGCGCCCGAGAGTCTTTTCAAGCCTGAATTCACGCATTCCCAACCTGATGATGATGTGCTGACATGATGATGTGGTTGACATAATTATAGAATATTATAGAGATGATGATGTGGTTGCCGTGATGGTGAGAAAGCTGGCCATGACAATCGTCCGTAACTCGGAAGTTTCCTAACTAACTTCCTTTGATTAAACGTCACCCTCCCTCCCCCAAATAATGAAACCTAGGGGTACTTTTTATTATTAGGTGGTATTTAATATTCGGGGGAGAAGCTGGCCCCTAATATTGAATTTAAAACCTTGACATAAAACACTAAAATTTTCGATTTCAAAATCGATTAATTTCCCTTCTAACATCTAATCAAAATATTGCCAAAAGTTGGATTTCGAAGCTTTTCCCTAATACTAAATTAAGGGGGTAGAACCTTCAAATAGACCTTGATTTTTAACTTGTTTTCCAAAGAGAGAGGATCAATTACAAGTCAAATTGACCAATCTGAATATTCCCAAAACAAATAATCCGGGGTAGTCTTTATTTAGGAGAGTTTTAGTAGGGAGAAGGGATTATTTTCTTGGGGAGCGAGACTCGAGAAGCCAAACAGAGAGCAAAACGTCCAAGAGGACGCTGGTTGAACATCAGCAGCCTGGGATCCATCTGCGCGACCAACTGGGCTTGCATGGCATGCTGAGCAACTCGCTCCGCAGATGCCTGGCACCACAGGATTTTTTGGCGAAGCTATGGTGCTTGTGTCTGTACCTCGAAAGTGCACTCCATAGAGAATAGGTACTTATCACGTGTAAAACTGTGATTTCAGGTTTATCTCAATATATCATTTCACCAGTTCATCTCAATTTTCATTTTCATCCCATCTCTTTTTTCGCTGGGGATTTTTCCATCATGGTAGTTTGTTTTTTATAATAGGCTACAGTACCTAAATCCATTGGTTTATCATCATGTTCTCCCACAGGATGAATCAAAAAATATCCAAGATGAGTGAAACATCACATGATCTTTGCTGGTTGAATCACCATGATAACGGTTACCCCATTGAATACAAATGAACACCATGTAATTATATATTAATATATATTAATATACATTAATACATACGTATACTGGTTGGTGGTTTTAACATGTTTTAACCATCTTGAAAAATATGAAAGTCAGTCAACGGGAAGGATTATCCCATATATTATGGAGGGGGGGACTTCTTGTTGGTAGCCCCCATTTATCTCCCGATTCTAACCCCTGGGCCCCTGGGCCCCATCATTTTTGCAGCGCCTGCAGGTCACGTCCAGCCTCCTGCAGCTGAACCTTGGGGTGAAGTTTACCAGTCAAAAAGCCGCCCTTCAAGATCTTAGATGTTTATTAGATGATTATAGACATTGATACTATATGATGTATTATGATGTATGAGGATATTATATTATGATATTATATGATATATGATATATGCTATATGCTATATGATATATGATATATGCTATATGATATATGATATGATATATGGTATATGATATATGTCACTATGTATGATTGTGTATGCATTGTGTATGCATTGTGTATGCATTGTGTATGCATTGTGTATGCATTGTGTACGACTATGTATGATTCTTTATGATATCAATGCTGTTAGCATTCATCAACTAACATCAATCAATAAACACTATGGTATGTGATGATCATTGTTGTTTCATTAGTGGTAGATTTGTGTTGACCATTATCCATCACTATCCAATAATATCATATAATATCCCATATGTGTGCCAAACAACATTGAAGAAATACTGCGTAGCTTCACTACACTCACCTGGCCGCTGAGGGTCACACCAAATCTCTTTGTGCTTTGTTCAGCTCCTGTGGATTTTCCAACCAGGGTGGCTTAACAAAGGACGATGCCGACAATGCCCTGGTTTCCAACAACGACCGGATCTGGGTTGACCATGTTGACCCCAGAATCTCCTGCTTCTGCTGGGACATTTGCGAGATCAAACGCAAGCGCTCCCGTGTCCACCTCAGACGCGGATCGATCGGATTCCTTCCGCTGCTTGTCCCATGAACCGCTGCATATCTGTCCTCGGATTCCTAGGGGGTTGCGCGGGCTGGAAACCGTTCATCGCCAAAAATCTTGGTTGTTGATCATGTCACGTCCTTCTAGATCTATATTTACCATATCAGGTGAAACCTCAGATCGCTGGAGTTTTGACATCTGCAGATTTTCGGCTCTCAAAGCCCCGCAGTTGCGGTTGGAGGTTGAAGCCACTTTCACTGTGAATTCTTAGCAGCCGTGGTGGTTCCATGTGCTCCTAACCGAGAAAAAAACCAGGTGACTTGGAGTTGACCAACTGAAAATCAGGAGGAAAACCGAAACCGGACCACCAAGCAGCTAGTCATGCAACTCACTGGCAAGCACAGGGAGCTGTCTCAGTACTTGTATCCTAACACTTACACAAAGATTCACAAAGAGTTTTCGATCATCTGAACCCAATGTTTTTTGACTGTTGTAGAAGACAGAAACCAAGCCAGAAAAATTGCAAACCAAAGATTTTGCTGGTTGATGTTGGTTGCATGGTTCGTTCATGTTCAGCATCCCCCTGTGGCACAGGAATCCCCTGATCCTTCCAACCCTGGTGCCACTACCTCGAATTCTCGGAACCTCATCTGGCAATGGCCAACCATTACCGAGTTGGTCACCGTAGGTCACCGTAGGTCGCCGTAGGTCACGTGTGTTCATCTGCCTGAAAGATATGGCTTTCCAGTTCACCACTTCCAACAAATCACCAGTTCCGGATTGGTGCAGTCCATTTTCTCCATAATTCTGCCTATATACCTCAACCTTGGCAGGATTGAACATGACAGAGGTTGTATCAAAGTGCATGGTTTATCATGGTTTATCATCACCTTCCCATGTCCCATGTTTTCCATGTTTTTCACAAATTGTTCAGGGCCATAAAATGGGAACCCATCCCCCACATGACCACCAAACACCGGAGCTTAGCCGGCTGTCCTCGAAAGACTCAATTTTGACCTGTCCGAACATGTTCAAACAATGTCTCTGGAGTTCAGTTCAGAGATGTTCAGAGATGTTCAGAGTCCAAATCAATCATCACCAATCATCAACCATATTTCAATGATCAGACCATCATCAAAACATATCAAAACCATAGTTAGTATAGTTTTCTGGTGATTTCATGTACTTTTCATGTACTTTTCATGTGATTTCAGGATCCTCATTGGCTTCCCAAAACTTCGACACGGCGCCGCGTGTCGAGGATCCCAAGGCCTGGCAGTGCCAACGTGGCGCAGAGCCGACGGCACAGGGCCAGGTGAAGCTGCTGGAAGCCGTCGCTGACGGAGCGGAACTTTGGCAGGCGACTTCCTGCGAAACGTAGCAGGAAAACATGGGAAAACGTAGCAGGAAGACGTTGGGTTGAGAAAAACACAACAGAATGGAAACAGAATAGAAATCATCCAAAAACATCCAACAACTTGATGCAGTTGGCTGGATGAATCAATCGTTGAATTTGATTTTGATTTGCAGTTGAATTGCATGTACTTTAGGGTGGCTCATGAGAATTATGAGATGCGACATGCAAGAAATGGGTTGGGATACACTTGGAAACACATGTTGCAACAACCATCCAGTCCGGTGGTGTGAAGAAAACACCCAGAACTCCTGGTTTCATGATAGAATCTGCAAGTGTGTGTGAACATTTAACGAGCTGTTCCTTTCTTTGAATCTTTTGGAAAACCCATCACACCCTATATATCCCCATATATCCATATATATATATCGTATATATATATATCCCATCAAATCCATTTAAACCCCACTAGATAAATTTAGATACCAACCATTCCGTGCCGGGCATTCCATCCTTGCCTTCCGCCATGCGCCATTTTCGCGCTTGCTGCTGCAGCGACATGAGATCCAACTCCTGGGCTTCATCGGTCGGTACCTCGATCCTCAATGATTGGACGAACCCCCATTTTTGTGGGTCGAAATATGTCTAAATTCATGATGAAGCCATCCATAAACATGATTTAGACATATATAATATGATATGATATGATATGATATAATACAATATAATAATATATAATATAATAATATATATATATAATATAATAATATAATATAATAATATAATATAATATAATATAATATAATATATAATATATAATATAATATAAATACATAATGTATGATTTCAAAAAAGACCAACACAGGTTCAAAATAAACCATCCATTTGATTATTCGGAGGCCATATCCCCTGATGGTTGATCTGGCCATGGGCGTCCCTGAGGGATCCTGGAATCAGGTTGACTCGTGCGGCCAAATGCACTTTCATTCGAACAAAGCAATGATCAATTACATCATATATCATACTATATTATATATATAAATATATATATTATACATCTTCAAATCCCCATTAGTGCGATGAACCCCCCCAAGGTAGCGATCATTCGAATCGAGTTTGTTTCTCACCCCTGAATTTTTCAGTGCCATCTCTCCTCATCAGAATCTTCAGAGATGACCATCTCATCGAAGCCATTCACCACATCTCCAACAGGCGCCACCGCCTGATTTTTCAAGCTCCGGTTGAAAAAAACGCTACGACAAAATGGGGCGGAATCCATCTTGACGGAGAACTCCTCTTCTGGTCACCGGCTTTGAGAGTTGTGTCTTCTACATGACATTGGTATGCTGCATCTACAATAGAACAAAAGCAACGACCCCGCAGACTGACTCTCTCAGTGGCCCAAAAAGGCCCAGCCTCGAGGGTCTGGCAGGCAAGTTCTCTGAGTTCCTGTGTGGCCAAATCCCAGAGCCTTTGCTCGGCCAACAACTGCTTCAGCACCACCTGTGGATGTCGAAATGCAATGCACAATGGACAATGCACATATCTATGCGTTTATATACGTCTATGTACTGTATATAATATTGTAATATATATATATATATGTATGATGATATGTTATACAAATTGAATCAAATTAAAATTATATTATTTTATATCATATCATATCATATTATATTATATTATATCATATTATATTATATACAATATATATATATATATATATTATATTTATACTATATATATGTAAATATATGAATTATATGAATATGTGTATATGTATATACATAGTATTACATAGTATTACAGTATATATTTGTATGTGTACATATATATATAATATAATATAATATACATATATGCGGATTCTTAAAGATACGAACTGGTATTTTAGACCACCTCCGGCCATTTAAACATACGGAATCCAATTTATTTTATTTAGAGACACACTTAAATATACAGATGGAACCCGTGTTTCATACTACCTCCAGGGCCGCGTGGTCTGGCCCGCCCTCCACATATTCAAATGTCGTTACCGTACAATCTTTACTGCTGACATATTTTCAGCCACCAAATTCCAGCACTCGACTCTCAGAGCGGTTGAAAAACCGGCCTGGTGGCACTCGGAGCCACCACTCACATTCTGGAAGATCACCAATTCTTCAGCCAAACCTCGGCACAATATGAAGCAGCCGCGACTCCAAAATGAGTAGATCCAGATCTAAACCAGTGACCAGGGATACCAGGGTTCATAGGTTGCTTAATTAAAAAAAAATGGGCCGGGATTACCGAGCCGGGAATACATGGGAATACCAGCTGTCGAATACTATCGGGATTGATCACCAGGAGTCGCATCTTGTCGCATTTTCCCAATTAAAAACTGCAAACTCTGGGTATGCTACAAACCCAGATACTTCTGTTGGTAATATGATGTAATATGCCATTGTTGATTCCCGTGTTTTATCCTGCACATACAGTAGTAATTACTTTTCCGATAATGTTCCCATTTCGTGTTGCTTAAAACATACATATCCCGGCTATCTGATATGTGTTCCCATCATATATCATATAAATACATTGCTGATAACCCATCAAATACATATTCACATTTAATATCACATATCATATATATATAATATCTAATATAACCAATATATAACCAATATACAATCTGATTGCCCTTGTTGATCCCATGCCTATCCAAGCGACGAAGTAGCAGCAAACGCTGCGCTCCCATGCAGCTCTTAGACCGTGCCAGTGTGCGTACAAACGGCCTAAGGCTTTCCCAGGGGGGATGCTGGAGCGGTTGTCCATGATAAACGACGGGGAGTTGCCGAGCAAAAAAAACAATCAAAAAAGCACTGCAATTATCTTCCTCATCTAATCTAATCTAATCTACATACAGTATACGTGTATATATATATGCACACAATCACACCATATATAGTTCTGTAACTATAAAATCATAATTTATGTATCTATCATTATCTATCAGTTGTGTATTATATATATATGATTATATATGTAGTTAAATCATTTATGTATGTATGTATAATATATATATATGCATATATATATATGCATATATATATATATACATATAAATGCATATATATATATATGTACACAGTATATTATATATAATATGTATATGTAACAGTCAACCATAATATATAATGATATAATTATATAATTATAAAATATATAGAATATATATATATATATTATATTGCGATACTTTTGAAGGCAGGATAGAAATCAGATTGGATACAACATGATGAATCAAATTACACTTTGGGGACAGCTGTGGCATGTTCTATGATATGTTGAACCATCCATAAAAATGCCCATGGGGTTGTCTAAAAATCCAGAACCCCAAATCCCACGGTATATCCTCATGTTCACTACTGGTATCAGTTTCTCTTGAGGTGTCCCCCCAATTTGAGACAAGACATGACAATACCACAGATCGTATTGTTTGGCTATGTACCCATTATATTCCCATCACATCATTATCCCCATTGAAATCATTGGACACCACCAGATTTGGGTCACTGGGCTCTAGGACCGGATCCTGGAAATGTCAGAGTCCTTCAACCAACCTGGCAGACATTCACAGCTTTGTCTTTCCCCGAAATATGTTTGTGATATCTGATTTGGAAAACATGAGCATCACTGAGGTGGGCTTGGCTGTTGCAAGGGCACCGGAGGAGCTAGATGTGCCACTCTGTTTGTGTGTGCATAGTGCCCTCTAGCGCAAAACATCTCGGAAGAGTACAATAGTTCCTCCCAAAAGTCAAACACCATCAAACTACTTCTACACTAAAAGACTAGTAGGGACTAAACTTGGGATTGAGTCTTGGGATCATTTTGTAATCCTTGTGGAGACTCTCCCTTTTAAAGTACAGATGCCTGTCTCCGACCGCAGTAGGAGGATGAGCAACAAGAGGCATGGCCCGGTGAAGCACCTCGCTGAAACTGCTGGTTTTTTTGCACAGCACATAGACCACTTCTGGGAACTATGAACATCTATTAACTATTGGAATTGGAATGCTTATTTAGCTTACTTCCACACCACCTCAAACATGTGTCGTGAAAACACGATTTTATTCTGGAAGGGGTTTTCGGGGTTTTTGTCCTGCTTTTCGCATACTTTCCCATTTTCTTTCGAGGATTTGAAGGTGTTCCCAAATGGGCACACAATACATTCAGCATGGCTTCCATAAATGACACTGCGGAGGGTCTCCTCAAGGCTCTGTGTATTGGGATACTGCTTCGATTCAAACTGGTGCTTGGTTTTGGGTGCCTTTGATTCATGTTCAGACAGACCTTGCGGGGGTCTCGTGGAATTCTTCAAGAATATAATTAAATAATTCAGCAAACATGAACATTTATATGTGTATGCTGTATATGCATGTATATGCATATATATGACATCCACCTGTACATTGGGCTGCATGTTCCTGAATCAGGGCTCACTAGTCCAACTGACTCCCGCAACCACCGCTGACCTCTGAAGCCTCTCCTCTGGAACACCTGGCTCCTAAAGCACTTCACAGCTGGCAAAATGTGACCATCACCACTCGGCTACTTGTTGGTTGCCCAGGGAACGGCGCTCAGTGCTTCCAGATTGGACAAGGCCAACTCCCACCCCGCACAGTCCTCTGCGGTTCCTCCTCGGCAGACTGGCTGAAGTAGACTTTTCATACGCTTTCCAATGGAAGACCTTCTAGATGCTTCTTGATTTCCACACTCTGGAGCACAATATAAAAAAAAACTCTTTATCCGGAAAAAAAAATAAGTGGGAAATCGGGAAATCCTGGGAATTTGAGGGGTGAGTCGGACCTTTGGACATCTTCAGATTGTAAGACCCAAACATGCTTTTGTTTTCAGTCTAGGACAGCAAAGGACAGCAAATCATAGTTTCAACATGGCCATTCACCGTCCTTCTCCAAGCTCTACAAGCAGCAGCAGTCGTTCCACAGCGGCGTGCAAGCTTTTTGACACCCGTTCCTAAGGTGTTGAATGAAATCCACATCTCCAAACGCAGTCGGATCAAGAAACTGTAGCTGGATCCGCCGAACCCGCGTGACCAGCCTTGTATGTTCATTTTGTATTGCGAGCTTCAGTTTAGTGCTACAGGACACAAAGCATGTTGAACGAAGTTCCCAGCTACTATAATTCATTTCTTTGAGTTCCCAAATCCTTGTAGGCAAACACGTTCCCAGCACTAAGTTCTTTCATTGGGCAAAGGAGCTGCAGAGATTTGTACCCAAATGGATACAAAATGGTACAAGTGTCAATTTTGAGAAAATCACAGAATTGCTATGAATTGGTCATGTTTTTCTGCACTAATCATCTAATCATTAATTATCCTTATTTAGTCTAATAATGTCTCCATTTTCCAAGATCGCCATTTTGACTGTCAAGCAACTGAGTGTAGTGTCTCCGAGGCCGTCAAAGGTTGCACCGAGGAAAGAAGTCCTGACGCGTCTGGGCATCGTGATCCCGGTGAGTGTTGGACAAGCAAATGGTGTTCACGTGTGTATGGGGCAAAAAATAAAGCCCACCTTGGGATATTTTGGTCATGTTTAGCATGAACCATCCAATTTTGTACCCAATCTTGACCCATCAAATCTAGAACTGAACAGCAGATCGTTGGTGCCATTTATGCCCGCATGCGTCGCACTAGTACCGCTCCAAGTACTGCCAGCGCAGCAGCATCTGTCACCCGTGCATTCCAATCGCTGGCATCATCACCTCCCAATTTTTGTGACTTGGATGTTCCCCCCATGGGAAGACATGGAAAAACAACACATCCAGATTCTTCTAACATGACATCTGACAAATCCACCACAAGTGCGCACCATCGCTGAAGAGTAGGTCAGAGCAGCCTCGGACCAACCTTAGGTTTTGATGCCATCTGCAAAGCTGTTCCCTTTTGGGAAGATCTCACACTTTCACAGGCAGAATAGAGGCAGCACTGACCATGCAGAAACTGCCGTGATTTAGGTTCTGCCAGGTGACACGGCCAGGCTCTGTGCATCATGTGCCCGTTGCTCGACCACCAGGGGGCATCGCAAATAGGCACAGGACACTGCCAGGAGCCTGAAGACAGAACGGAAGATGCAAGGAGCTTCAAAGAAGTGAAGTTGGCTCAAAATTTCTCCCATGGTTGAGAGAGAAACCCATTTTGACCCACACTCGCCTTTTTTGGAAAAAAACACAATTCTCTATTCTTTATACTAGCCTGCACTTGGACCATGGTTCTCATTGAAGAGGTCAGTGTGGACGCATGACAAGTGAACCGTGGCTGTGGCCGTCCCGACTACAGAGGCGAAAACAATGTCATTTCCGCCCACTAACTTTCTTAATGTGGTAAACCCAATGATTAATACACCTCCAAAACTGGGGTTGGTTTTGATAATCCCAAGCATCTCTGGCAAACTACTGGGTATAGTCGATTTTTTTTGGGTGTGTTACGACATTGCTGCGAACTGGGGAAAAACATTTGAACAACACACGCCGTATCCCACTATTGGTTCAAGATAAAATTCACAGCAAACCCCATAAACATCCTACGGGGTAAACACAATCAACCATCGACCAATATGAATATTATCCCTTTAGGAAAGTACAGGGTCCAGCTTGGAATCTGCCTATTGGTTGTGAAGAATGCGGTTGACCAACTCTGTTTTCATCAACCCACTCAGGGTGAAAAGGATATCAGCGGATAGTTCAATCACGTTTATGCCACTGGGTCGATAACCGCATGTGTAGGCGTGCGCATTTTTATGCATTTTTGATTTTAATGATTTTGCAACACAATTTCGACCCGGTGGTTTTTTGATGCTACGGTGTTGTCTCGTGCTGTCTTGCAACGTTTTTGTGCACATTGATCTGATGTTAGGTTTTGCAAAGTGGGGTGGGGTGAGTTAATAACGTTCTTTCGCCTGCGTTTCAACATGCTCTTGATGCTACGCTATGTCTTTCTCAAAAAACTTTTGACACGCTCTTGGTGCTACGCTCTTGACTTTCTCAAGTAACTTTTGACACCCTTTGGATGCTACGCTCTAGATTTTCTCAAGTAGCTTTTGACACGCTCTTGGTGCTACCCTCTTGACTCTTTCAAGTATTTTTTTCGATGAACGATTTTTTTGGGGTCCATGATTCCTGTTGAACTCGCCAATTTCTTCAGTATTTTCCTTTAGAGATTGCTGAAGATGTTTCTTGTGAACAAAATAATTAAGTTGTCCTGGCCCTAACAACTCCCTGATTAATGTAATATATTGTAATATCGGATAGTTGTATCGTAACAATATGTTTAGTTCAGATATATGTGTGAGTTAGCAAACTAGCAACCTGTTTCTGGCTGTGGTGACCTCAAGTGACTCAGGTTGGAGAACAAAAAGAAATTCGCACCAGTTCCGAGGTCAAACAAATTGAGGTAACATATATATATATATTATATAATATAATATAATACAATATAAAATAAAATAATATAAAATAATATAATATAATATAATAAAATATAAAATAAAAAATATAAAATAATATAAAATAAAATAAAATAAAAAAAATAATATAATATAATATAATATAATATTTAATGTATATATATAATATAATATAATATTTAATGTATATATATATATATAATGTATATATAATATTAGCTAGGTTCAAGATAGGTGGTAGAGGCCTTAAGTAAGATCCAAACATGTCTGGTACGTACGGCTGGTAGGTTTGGTTTTCTTGGTACGGTACGGTTGGTACATGTGGTACGGTACGGTTGGTACGGTTGGTACGCTTAGTAAGGTACGTTTGGTACGCTTACCAACCGTACCGACCGTACCAGTGAACCGTACATAACCGTACCACCGTACCGTACCAGATTAAGGGGGGGGTCAAGGGGGGGGCGTTTTGGATGTACAATACTAAAGTAGTATTGGTACATCCAAAACGCCCCCCCTTGACCCCCCCCTTAATCTGGTACGGTACGGTGGTACGGTTATGTACGGTTCACTGGTACGGTCGGTACGGTTGGTAAGCGTACCAAACGTACCTTACTAAGCGTACCAAACGTACCTACCCAAAGCGTACCAAGCGTACCAAGCGCACCAAGCGTACCGTACCAAGCGCACCAAGCGTACCAAGCGTAGCGTACCTATCTTATAGCTGGATATCAAGCACCTATCTTGAACTTAAAAAAAATATATAATATGTGTATATATAATATGTATATATATAATATGTATGTATATATATATAATATGTATATATATATATAATATGTATATATATATAATATGTATATATATATATATATATTATGTATATATATATATATATATATATATATCATTTTTTCAAAAAAAAACGATTTCGGCAGCCCCCAAAACCTGAACAAACGCATTTTTTCCTCAGAAAACATAGGCAAATTCCAAAACACCATGGAATGACGTGCATTTCTTCCTTGCCAAGGTGTCACAACCACTGTAAATACCACGTTTCTAAAAGTTGATGAATTCATAAAATTGCAACGACTACACGTTCAGTTCTCAATCTGGCGGCGCCGGGACGTTTATGATTGGTCATCCGCCCATCATGTCAATTTATTTCATATCATTTCTAGGTTTCTTTGCCCCATTTATTCTGGCTGAATTGAAGTAATTCACCAACCTGCAAGTAGTTGAAACAAAACCATGTGCAGATGTTTCCGTGAATCCGAACCATCAAAACAAAACATCATTCCATCATTACCTCATGACATCATGATCAATTTCATCCAGATTGGGGTTTACTATGGTTTACTATGGTTTACTCTCTTGGTACACCATCAGTATACCATCAACATCCATCAACCACTCCTGAAAGCTGTCGAAGATGCATCCTCGCAGCGGCTATGGCTCGGTTTCACGGTCGAGGTCGGCAATGGGGAACCGGTCAATAGCAGACCTGGAGCGGCGTTGAGATGGGGAGTTTTTAAGGTTGTTTTTTCATACATCTACTTGCGTGAGAGAGAGAGAGGGAGATATATATATATATATATAATCATATATATATATATATAACACATATAATCATATATATATATATATACGCGAAGGAAGTTTAGAAGCCAAACTTCCGACAATATGGACAGATGAAAAGCAGAGCAGGGCAGAGGCAGAGAGAAGAGAAAGATTAGAAGAGAGAAGATCAGAGAAGAGAAAGAGTCAGAAGAAAGAAGATGCAGATGCGCGACAAGGTAGGAAAGTCGCGAAACACTGTGTTTTTCCAATGATTTGTGGCTTCGGAGGGTCGAAAAGTAGGCTCGCTAAAGCGGCGGGTGCTGAGCCATCTGGCCAGATGAGAGATGAAAAATTGCACGCCGTTGTGGCGCGAAGCTTATTTCCAAGTCAAAATGTACAAAACACACCATGCTCGGACTACAGTTTTTGTATCTCTTGCAGCGCAGCAAGCAGCATGGCATGGCCTAATCTTGAGGCCCGAATCCCGAACATGATGGTGTCCCAAAACCGGCACTCGAAAATCTGAAATTTGACATTTGGAAATGAACAAAGATCAAACAGAATGGTCAGAAACACGAGGAGGAAAGCATCAAAAGTTTGATGGTTTTGAGCCGATGACAACTCTGAAAATGACACCATCACTACGCCCGCTCCATCAAATCACCATCTTGGCAATCTTGCGGAATGTTCAGACCATCATTCAAAGTCTTCCACTGGGGGCAAAAGAGACGTACGCTTCTCACACACGAGGTGGCACGCCTTCAACTCAAGCACTTTGACCTCATCCTTGCCTCGCTGCTTCTTTGCCATGCAAACTCAAATTTGATCGCAAGAGTGTTCACGTTGCAGGCGGCTTCGAAGATGCACATATCAGCTGGCTGCAAGAGGAGACATTTCGGGTCCTGCACGGACGTCAGGCTAGACAGGAGCTAGGAACCACATACCAAGTGATCATATCAATACACATGAGCGATCTAATTTCTTTCATATTTATCATCTGGAAATGGACGTCTTCATGCGACAAAAACTTGCCTTCTGCGAACCCCATTGCTTCTTTCGCATGGCTTTTAATGCTTTTACTTATTCAAATTAGCACGTTAGCTGCATCATCCTGGAAGCATGTCTGCCTGTTCATTTCGGATTTTAGGCAATTCAATTCAATGTGTTATGACAGAAAGCTGTCGAACAACAGGAGCATGTGGCTTCCAGAGACCAATGGATATTGTGGACGCGTGTCTAAAAAGGATCTGGATTTATTGATTAAGGGTTTTCGTGGAACCTTGCGCTCACACGAAAAAAAAACGGCGGAATAACGATCCTGACCGGCGGCTTTGGGAATCGAGCCCTTCTTCAAGTCGCCGATGCCATAAATAAACTGAATGTCGTTCTCATCGATCGCAGCCCCAAGTGTTTGATCTAGAACACCCACCATTACTTTGGTGGCCTTGCTCAATTTGTAACTCAGCAAATGCAGGGTCTCTCCTGCAAGTCCTTCAGCGTCATCGTCAAAGGACTTGAAGACTGGAGGTGACGGCACAACTGCTCTGTACAGCAACGTGTCCTTGCTCAAACACTTTTTTTTGGACTTCGACTTCAGGGTGAGTGTTGGCTCAACAGTCTCAGATCCGCTGACGAAAGCCAGA